AGGGATGGCATAATAGATGCACCCCAGGTATCAGATAAGCCTTGTTTACCTAGTGACTCCTCCACTTTCTGGCCACATCATCTCTTTCTTCCTTCTTAAAAATATAAATAATAATCCAAAGCTCAGAATGTTGCTGTGAATATTATGTTGTATTATGTTACGTATTATGTTATATTACTAGATACGTATTTAGCGTAATGCCTAGCAGAGAGTACCTGCACAGTGACTAATAGATGTTGGCTTATATCAACTGAATATAGAAGTAGGTGCAATTATGGTTTTGAATTCATCTCTTAACATTCATCCTACCCAGTGAATTTTTGCACCTTAGCTAGCCATGAGTGCTTCAGGAGCTTGGTGGTTTCCTCCCTCCATATTTTTGTCACTACAATTATAGACACAGTTGAGAAACTTTTCCATATCTGAACCCGTCCATTCAATTTACTAACTGGCCAATTGACTTGGGTAAGTTATTCCAAACAATTTTATTAAAAACTACATATTGTTTTGACTTTAACACTTGTGTCACTTAAAAAATATATTGAATATATTTTACACAGTAATGGATCACTTGTAAATCCACCTGCTGGACTACATTTCTGGTCAAAAACAACATGGCTGTAAGCAAAAATATCCTCCTTCTGGATGTGTATTTGGAGATAGGTAGGAAAACACCTCTTGTTTTCTTGTTCTTGCTTGTTTTTTTTTTTTTAAACGGACGTTTCTTTACAGCCTGGTTATAGAAGTCTAAATGGTGTCAGTGAATTCACCACTAACAGCCATCTCCACATCAATGCCACCTGGGTGTGCATGCATACCTGCTGATACACCTGGGTGAGCACAGCTATATAGCTGCTGATACACCTGTCAGTGGTGCTGCAGCTCAGTCACATGTAAACTCTTGACAGGCAGGACTGAAGAAAGGCTGTCTGGGATACAATGACGGGCTGATCACGAGTATTCCTTTCAAAAACAGGTCACAGAGGAACACTTACTGAAGGTTATTGATATCACTTTTGCATATTTCTAGATTTTATTCGTGATTTACAGAGTTGTCTAATTCATTTGCTTAAGTCTTGTCACAATGTATTGAACACAGAATAACTATTAATTCTGTCAACATTTGCATTATCTCACACACACACACACACACACACACACACACACACATGCAAGTGCATATTGTATTGACAGAGCTGCATTGTCAGAGCTTTCTCTCTAAGACCTCAAGCCCTCATCTACATCCTTTGGTTATGGGTCACTTCCTTCCTTCTCTAAGTGACCAATCACAAAAGAAATTTTGTTTCTTGAGTACAAAAATCTATGACTATTGATGTCACCATGTTCTGTAATTAAGGTATGACCTCATGCC